CACAAGGTGTCAGCTAACGACGTCACTGCTATACGACCGATTGTGAGACGTCAATGGTCGTGGGTTTCCACGTGTCCTCTAGGACCGACGAAATGCCGTAAGGCATCAGCTGGCGATATGACGTCACTGGTATTTGGCTGAACATCAGCCAACAGGTCATGCTCCATTTCTGCCTTTCGTACATGTCTGCTGCAAGTATTGGCGGATTTTTTGCGGCCAACTGAAGGCCATAAAGCATCAGCTAGCGATGTGACGTCACTGGCATTCGACCGTGTGTGTCGCTGGTCATGAGATTTTACGGCCTCTTTTGGGCCGACGAAAGGTCATACGGCACTGACTGACGATGTGACGTCACTGGTATTCGAATGAACTTCGGGCGCGACAGGCCATGTTCCACCTTTATCTTTGGTACCTGTCCATTGCAAGCATTGCCGTGGAAGGCTCTGCCAAATTACCTGGGTGTGTACGTCACTGACCATTAATTTGTATACTCTTCTGAACCTACTATAGGCCACAAGGCATCAGCTGACGATATGATGACACTAGGTCTCGACTAGACATCATGCGCAACAGGCCATGCTCTATCTAAGCCATGTTTCGTCTGTACCTTTCGCACCTATCTACTGCAAGTATTCGCGCAACACATAGCGGCTCTGCCGAATTACCTGAGCGTGTGGTGTAACTAGTCATGAGTTTACGCGGGTTTACTCTGGCTGACCGAAGGACATCAAGCATCAGCTGACGATATGACGTCACTGGTATTCGACTATACTCCAGGCGCGACAGGCCATGTTCCATCTTTACCTTTCGTACCTGTCTCTTGGAAGTATTGGCGTGCTGAATGAAGGCTCTGTCGAGTCTCCTGAGTAAGTAACGTGACTGGTCAAGAGCTTTTTAAGGGACCTTTTGTACCCCCAAACGGTATAATGTATCAGCTGACGATATTACGTCACTGATGTCCGACTTAACATCAGGCGCGACAGGCCATGTTCTATCTTTACCTTTCGTACCCGTCTATTACAAGTACTGACGTGCTGAATGAAGGCTCTGTCGAGTCTCCTGGGTGTGTAACGTTACTGGTCATGAGTTTTTTCTGGCTCCTTGGAACCCTCTATAGGGAAAAATGCATCAGTTGACGACGTGATGCCAATGGTGTTTGACTTAACATGAGGCGTAACAGGTCATGTTCCATCTTTGCCTTTCGTACCTGTAAAGTATTGGTGCGTTAAATGATGGCTCTGCCGAGTCACTTGAGTGTGCGACGTCACTGGTCATGAATTTTTACGACTATTTTTGGCTGAGCGAAAGCCATAAGGCATCAGCTAACGAAATGACTTCACTGGTAGTCCACTGAGTGTGTGACGTCACTGGTCATGAGCTTTTACGGGCCTTTTTTGGCCGAGTTCAGGCCATTAGGCATCAGATAACGTTATGGCGTCACTTGTATTCGAATTAACATCAATTGCAATAAGCCATGTTTCATCTTTACCTTTCGCATCTGCCTACTGCAGGTATTCGTGCGCTACAAAAAGGCTCTGTCGATTCGCCTGAGCGTGTGGTGTAACTGGTCATGAGTTTGTGCAGGTTTACTCGGGCTGACTGAAGGACATCAGCATCAGCTGACGATATGACGTCACTGGTAATCGACTAAACTCCAGACGAATCATCTGAGTGGGTGACGTCGCTGGTCATGAGTTTATACGGATTCACTTGGGCCGCCCAAGGCCACAAAGCAACACCCCCCCGTGAAGCATCACAGGATGATATGTCGTCACTGTTATTCGACTTAACATCAGGTCCAACATGCCACGTACTTTCTTTACCTTTCGTACCTGTCTATTAAAGGTATTGACGTGCTGAATAAAGGCTCCGTCGAATCTCCTGAGTTTGTGACGTCACTGGTCACGAGTTTTTATGGGCTCTTTTGAACCCATTATAGGTTGTAATGCATCGGCTGACGGCATGACGTTACTGGTGCTCGACTAAACATCAGGCGCAACAGGTCATGTTCCATATTTGCCTTTCGTACCTGGCTGCTGCAAATATTCGCGTGCTATATGAAGCCTCCGCCGAATCACCTGAGTACGTGACGTCACTGATCATCAGTTGGTAGGAGGTCACTTGGCCACCTATGGCTACGAAATTCCGCAGCAGAGGCGGGAGATGCACCATAGTTAAGCACACTAATTTTATTGTGCGCACCATTAAGTAGCAGCTTCAAACGCAACGGGCTGTTTCAACGACTAAAATTTTGAACAAACGTAAACACAAAACAAAGGTGATCCCAGCCCACAAACCGACGTATATGCAAAGCTATTCCGCCCGACATCACAGGATGCGCCCCTGAGCAGCTACGGTCCGGAATGCCCTGATGGCTAAATAATAATCAAGGGCGCCGCCTAGCGGTCATAAGTCTGGGCCACAGCCCGAATATCAGTGACGTCATATGGTCAGATGATGCTTGATGTCCTTCCGTCAGTCCGAGTAAGCCCGCGTAAACTCATGACCAGTTACACCACATGCTCAGGTGATTCGGCAGAGCCTTTATGTAGCGCGCGAATACTTGCAGTATAGAGGTGCGAAAGGCAAAGATGGAACATGGCCTGTTGCGCCTGAGATTAAGTCAAACACCAGTGACGTCATATCGTCAACTGATGTCTTGTACCCTATAGGTACAAAAAAGCGGCCCATAAAGGACTCATGACCAGTGACATTACGCACTCAGGAGATTTCACAGAGCTTTCCTTAAGCATGTCAATGCTTACAATAGACAGGTACGAAAGATAAAGACGAACATGGCCTGTCGCGCCTGGTGTTAAGTTGAATACCAGTGACGTCACATCGCCAGATGATGCTTGATGTCCTTCAGTCAGCCCGAGTAAACCCGCGTAAACTCATAACCAGTCACACCACACGCTCAGGTGATTGGGCAGAGCCTTTATGTGGCGCGCGAATACTTGCAGTAGATAGGTGCTGAAGGTAAAGATGAAACTTGACATATTGTACCTGATGCTTAATTGAATACCAATGACGCCATATCGTTGCCTGATGCCTAATGGCCTTAAGTCGGCCGAAAAAGGCCCGGGAAAACTCATGACCAATGGCGTCACACACTTAGTGGATTACCAGTGACGACACATCGTTAGATGATGCCTTATGGCTTTCACTCGGCCAACAATAGCCTGTAAAAACTCATGACGACGCACTCAGGTGATTCGACAGAGCCATCATTAGGCTCGCCGATACTTTAACAGGTGCGAAAGGCAAAGATGGAACATGACATGTTGTGCCTGATGTTAAGTCGAACACCAGTGACATCATATCGTCAGCTGAAGCATTATACCATATAGGGGGTTGAAAAGAGCCCGTAAGAGCTCTTGACCATTGACGTCATATAACACGCGAATGCTTGCAGTAGGCAGGTACGAAAGGTAAAGATGGAACATGGCCTGTTGCGCTTGATGTTGAGTCGAATACCAGTGACGTCATATCATCCCGCGATTGCTTCACAGGATATGATGCTTTGTTGCATTGGGGTGCCCAAGTGAGCCTGTATGAACTCATGACCAGCGACGTCACGCACTCAGATGGTTCGGCACCACCTCGATATAGCGCGCGAATGCTTGCAGTGAACAGGTACGAAGGCAAAGATAGAGCATGGCCTGTTGCGCATGACATCTAGACGAAAACCGGTGACGTCATATGGTCAGCTGATGTGGTGTGGCTTACGGTAGGTTCAAAGCAGTCTATATAAATTAATGGTTAGTGACGTTACACACTCAGGTAGTTCGGCAGAGCCTTCCTTCAGCATTCAAATGCTTGCAATGGACAGGTACCAAAGGTAAAGATGAAGCATGGCCTGTCCCGCCTGAATTTTATTCGGATACCAGTGACGTCACATCTTCAGTTAATGTCGTATGACCTTTCGTCGGCCCAAAAGAGGCCGTAAAATCTGATCACAAGTGACATCACACACAGTCGAATGCCAGTGACGTCACATCATTAGGTCATGCTTTACGGCTCTCAGTTGGCCCCCAAAGATCCATAAAAATGCATGACCAGTGACGTCACACACTCACGTGATTTGGTAGCTTTTATTCATCACGCCAGTGCTTGCAGTAGACAGGTACGAAGGTAAAAATGAAGCATGACCTGTTGCGACCAATATTTAGTCGAATATCAGTGACGTCACGATGCCTGGTGATATTTCACGGAACATGATACACCGCGGCCGTGGGGCCTAAGTGCACTCGTATCAAGTGATGATTAGTGACGTCACGCACTCAGGTGATTCGGTCAAGCTTTTATTCGACACGCAAATGCTTGCAGCAGACAGGTACGAAAGGTAAAGATGGAATAAGGCCTGTTGCGCCTGATGTTTCATTGAATGCCAGCGACGACATATCGTCAGGTGATGCTTTACGGCATTCATTACACCCAAAAGATCCCTAAAGCCTCACAACCAGTGACGTCACACATCCAGTCGAATACCAGTGACATCATATCGCTAGCAAATGCCTTGTAGCCTTCAGTTGGCCCAAAAGAACCCCGATCGATGGAAACCCATTTTCAGTGACGTCACTACGTCGGCTGATACCTGACAGCATTTCTCCATCACGGCAGTACAGGAACCCTGCAGCCAGCGTAGCTCTCCCCACCGTCGGCAATACAGGTACCCAAGTAAAAAAAAGCCGCTAACTCAACATCGGAGAGGCCAGAGCCCTCACTACAGAATTCAAATCAACACCCGTGTGTCTGAACCATATCATCCCAAAAGTTCAAAAATTATGCATACATGAATGCACGTCTATTGCGTCACCAGTAGTAAAAGCACTAATGCCCTTTTACGTCCACTAGCATTTATTCTTACATTCATGAATTTATTGTGTCTTTTAGCCGCCTCAACTTATGAGTTAATATGACGCACTAATGACGAAACTTGGGAGTGCCTGCCGCGAATCGAGTAATAACACGTAACGCTACCTGCTCTATGATGTTCTGGAGTGGTGCCGACAGCGCGAAGCGAGTCTGATATTCGACACATTCTTGGTTGATTTGAGCTTCTTCCTGCTGGTGGTGATACGGAAGGGAGGTCCGAAGCTTTGAGGAGGAAGAGTGTTTTTAAAAATCTGCTCGAGGCGCTGGTGCGTTTGGAAGCCTGTGTGAGTAAATGCTTGCCGCTGTGTCTGTTCCTGCTAGTTAGGGTCTCATTTTACGGTATTCGGCAATTTTTGGAGGATTGTTTTCAGCTCCCTTCCTGTCCGACGAACTTTTTTGTCCAGAACATGGTGGATCGACATTCCAGTGTATGCAGTTGTGCTAGGAAGCTCGTGCAGATTGCTGTGAGTTAGTGGGTAAACTCATCAAACCTGCACCATGTTGTCTCAGAGGCTACAAAAACTTACATGGCAAAGCCTCATATTTTCTAGATTCAAAATTCTCTGTTGTGTAAGTTAACAGCTTATTTGTCAACATTGGTTAGCTAAAGTAACTCAAAGTCAGCAGAAATATTGCTCTACTTGTAGTGGTGGCTCAGTCATGGTTGGAATATCCCTGAAAGGGAAGAGAAAAAGCAATTTGATTGTAGTTGGAATGTTTGCTGTGAAGTGTATTTGTGAGTAACATTATGCATGCAAATGAGATCATGTTAATAGCTGTATTTTGTGGAGAATAAGCAAGAGGATGGAGAAATAGATGTAAACATATATCTCTCTATTCCCCTGTTTATTCTACAAGAACTAAGACTATTAATATGTTTTCATCTGTACTTGGTGCAGGAATCATTCAGCCTTTAGAACCAAGCTGCTCATAAAAGTTACCAATGTACCACCCTACATAATAATCCATTTTCTGTGCAGCCAGTCTGCAAACTGTGGCATATTTTGATGAGATCTTGTTTAGACATAGCTGGGGCACAACTTACAATTGGGAGGCTGCTCATCAATGTTTTGTAGTAAATGTTATTAGGTTTGAATTGAATGTATGAGAATATATTTTGTGTGATACAAAACCAGTAAGATCACTGAAAATAATTGAATATTATAGCAAACCATGTGTTACAGAAAAATGAGTTGCTCAAGTTCTGCTGCAAGTGAGACAGCATGCTACCCTATTCTGGGCATAATTATGTTTGTCACAAACATCTAATTGACATGTTGCCATGATTTTCAGACCAGCCAAGCATGGCACCAAAGTGATGGTAGGATGCTGAGCATTGCATATGTGTGTGCCAAACACAATTTGTGTTAAATAATATTGAATATCATACTTTTTCTCCAAACATGGTTATGGGTAGATTATGGCATATTGCTTGAAATTATACCTACAGTATTCCTTCTGTCTACCCCAAGGTGCTCAGGTATACAGCATACATTTTTTAAAACAATTTTGGTTCAGTTCTGTAACTTTTTTGTCCCTCAAATTTTGCTGCTGTTAGACAGTTGTGCAGTTTAGTAGTTATAGCACAACACCAATAATAATCATCTAACAGGATTTGTTGCATCAAGCAGGATTTATTATATCATGATAAAAAGGAAACAGTCTCATGCTGCTATTTCCCAATACCAATGTTGCACTCAGCCAGTGATGAAGTGCTGTGGGAGGTGTAACCACAACAACTGTGGGCTGATGAAAAAACTAATGAGAGCTGCCTCTGAAGAAATATTAAAGCACCCAAAGCCTGCCTGGGTAATTGTTGCCCACAGCAGATTTTCAGTCTGTTGCATGCTCAAGAGATATGCATCAATTGATGTGTCAAGTGTTTCAGATCCCAAACAATACTCTTTATATACTATATATTATTCTAGTGTGAAGTGCCACAAAATGTTTTGCTGTCCCATACTTTATATCCAGTGTCTGTTTGGTGGAACATGCATTGTTTGGCATGTTTAGCCCAAGATTATGCGACCATGGTCTGTTTTTGCAACACCTTAAGGGTGTTGAGATTTTGTGCACAGTTATGTATTAAAATTGCTTGCATGCTGAAAGTTCATTGAAACTCACTGAAAAGTTAACTGCAAGCTGGAAAGAATCATCTAGAACTCCCCAAAATGCTATTTTTTGTGGTGGTGTGCAAGCTTGTAGGGTGAGAAGAAATCAGACATTGAAATCATACTGAAAACATCCTTGTTTGCTCATGCTTGTTGCCCTCCATATGGAAGCTTTGGAAGATACACCACTTATGTTCATGTCCATGACTTGTGTTTGCTGGTGTCACTGTCTTAATATTGAAGCCATCTGAATGATGCATCTTATTCTGTAAGCAATTGCGACCCTGCCATGGTGTCAATATAATGCACTTTTGAGGCAAAAGTGCCTTTGATGTCAAGCCAAGCCCAATGCCCTTAGTGTTTGCTAAGGGTTTAAATTCCCACCTGTTCCATCAAACAAGACAACTGGGAGACCAGCACAGTCCAACAACAGATCACTCACATCTGATTTGGCTAACGCATTTCAGGACGATGCAGCCCAGGCGGCGCGGCCAAAGCCAGCTGGGGTTAGGGGTGATCATGCTGGCCTCCCAGCTGCTGAACGTCGGTCTGGACCGGATCCCGCCCGTCACCCTGGCCACCATCGCCGCCCAGGTACGGACCGCCGCCGGTGGACCCGTCCCGTGCCGCTCTCTGTCGGCCAGCACGCCGAGCAGCGCCGGCCGCTGCCGCCCGGTCGGCGCGAGGAGCGCGGGGAAAAAGGGGTGGAATCGCCTGTGTAGGTGTCGCTGGTCCGCTCTGGCCTCTGCTGGTACTCGGGGATGGGCCGTGCTGGACACCAAGCGTCACGCGTGTAGTGACCGGGAGGTGACACTCGCTGGGAAAGGGGGGGGGGAGGCAGCTGACTTCTAATCTTGCGATGTTTGGTGCCTGTTCAGCCGGCTTCAAAATAGCCGGACTGCGCTACGGCTCACTGCCAAGAAGTGCCCGCAGGCCATAATGAGCTGGCAGGTTGGCACGACTGGTACTGAGCCATAGCAACGGACGGACCTTGCCTGCGAACGTAACGGATCTGAACGGGGCACTTGTGGGAACGCTGAGTTAACGCCCCGAGGGCACCGGGCAGCATTTGGTGGCCATGGTGCATAGGTGGCGCCATGGTAGCTTCCCCTCCAGCCTGTATAGGTGGCACTGTATGTGCATCCTTCGTGCCCCCGCCGAGCTCGGACGAGCTGGACTGAAATCAGCTCAGGCCATCCAGGGATACATCCGAAGAGGCTGCCGACGCTTACCGACCTTAATCACAGCGCCCGCTCGTTTTCAGTCCTCGGCTAAGGTCACTACTGAGTCCGTCCTGCTGCCCTTGACGTACTCGTCGCCGCGTGCGTCTCTTCGCCGATGACTCGGCCGTTGTCAGCCGCCTCCCCGCCCTGTTGAACCCGCCTGACCACCGCTGAACCCGGACCACACCTGAGCCGAACCCTGACCACACCTGAGCCGAACCCTGACCACACCTGAACCCGCACCATCACGCCATACGTCTCAGCGAGCCCCTCTCCCCCCCCCCCCCTCGCGGGCAGCGTGCCGACAGCTGTCCCTGGGCGTCTCCTGCCGTCACTGCCGTCACCATCACACGCCCACTGCTCAACAGGTGGCGCTGTTCCTGAACCTGGTGAAGCCGCCGTGGCACCGTTATGACGCCTGCATCAGCGTGTTCACGGTGCTGCGCCAGGGCGACTATAAGCGCGTGCTCATCAGTACGTTCGAGCACGCCGACGAGTGGCACCTCTACTACAACATGGTGTCCTTCCTGTGGAAGGGCATGCGGCTGGAGCAGCGGTAGGTTCAGCGATGTCTGACCTTCATACCGCTGCATTGCGGTGTGACGAACAGACGAGGCTAGAGCCGTCCATTACTCTTCTACTGCGTTACGCCTTCGCGTTCAAACTTTATTTTGCTTGGGGGGGGGGGGGTTCCTTGGAGCGCAAATAAAAAAGCCTAAATAAACAATGAGTGCCGATATTTCTCGCGTTGATCCAGCTCTTTCGATGATTGAGGCTTTTAGGCATCATAGCACACCTACAGCAACCTTCAGTCTCCTTGCCGGTCCGTTATTGTTAAGGTCGAATATGTTTCCGTGAAGTACGCCTCCTCACGCATGTATTAGCTGCAGAATGTGCAATCATTAAGCCATTTTCTAAAAGGTAGATATGATCACCGAAGGGGATTGCACGTTATCACAAGAATAACCGGCGGCTTTCTTTGTGCCTTGCCGCTCCACGCCTTGCATAGTCCGGCCCTCGGGCAGCAGCGATTGGCTGCGTTGATGACCGGGTGAATACGGATAAAAACCATTCAGCTAAGAATGATGTGAAGGCTCATTGCAAGTGCTTGATTCTTGCGAAGCTGCCGGTGTCGCCGTTGTCCAACTCCCGCCCGCGCGTTGCAGCATGGGAAGCCGCAAGTTTGCCATTCTGCTGGGCGTGTTCTCGGTGTCGTGCAGCCTGACGTATCTGGCGCTGGCCAAGACGGCCACCGAGTTTCTCCAGGACGAGAGTTACTCGAGACAGTGCGCCATCGGCTTCTCCGGTGAGGACCGGCGGGTGCGGCGGTGCCATTTCATGGACGGGTGCATCATCTGGTGTTACAGCGGGTGTGGTGTGCTGGTATATTGCTGCTTTGGGATATTACTGATACCTTAACTGGACAATGAATGTTGAGTTTGCTCCGTCTGTGGCTGTCACCCCGAGTCAAGCACAAGGAAAACATTAAAGCTTTTGAACTTTGAACTCCTGCACTCGCACTTCAGAGTGATGTCATGTGTGTTCCTGTGAGTGACGCGTGTGGCGCAGCATTTCCGCAACCGCCCGACACCCAACTTCCACCGGCTTGTGCTCTGTGCTCCACGCCATGCCTCTGTGCGTGCGCCCATCCCGCCCGTGACGCCCAACCGCCGCCCGCGCGCCACCAGGCGTGATCTTCGCGCTGAAGGTGCTGACCCAGCGTCTGGAGTCGGCGTCCGACTCGTGGACGTACCTGCGGGGCCTGGCCGTGCCGGCGCGCTGGGCAGTCTGGGCGGAGCTCGTGCTCATCCACATACTGGTGCCGGGCGCCTCCTTCGTCGGCCACCTGGCCGGCATCCTCGTCGGCCTGGCCTACACCTACGGCCCGCTCGAGTACCTGGTGGACACGCTCGACAAGGCAATCGGAGGTGAGCGCGGCCCGCTCTCGCGTGACCGGAGGCGAGGCGGGTTGAGGTGGAGGACAAGCATTTCAGCTTCAGGGACTGCTGGATGCTTTTGCTGCATGTAGGCTGTGGTTGAGAATTTTGGACGCGACCTCGTTTGTCATTTCGTTATCCAGCTGTGCGTGCCTACAGTCGTGTTTTGCGCGGTTGTTGCGTGAGTTATTACGGCGGCTTTGCTTTTTTTGTCATCTTTGCGTTCGTGGGGTATTTATGTGATGTGTGCGATATATGAAACATGTTGTTGAATGTGAGGCCTGTTTTTCAGGCCATTACCCACATATTTCATTCGTATCGTTTGAGTGCCTTCCACACAGACGAGCCGTTACCTGTTACCATCCTTACATACTGTCACCAGCTTTTTGGTTCGATTGTACACGCCGCGGGGCCCGAAGTCGACAGGAGTGACTCAGCCATATCAGAGCCGAACTTGTCACGCGCGTCAGACACGCCGTGATTACGGTTGTGTGCCGGGATTTGGTTTGGATGCATATACACTTGCAGTCGTTGTGCGCTGCTATTTTGGCACGGTGGACAAGCATTGGCATACATTTCACCCCGTCTATGTTCCTCTGAGGTGCTCTTTCGTTCCCCTGAGACAAGCATCTCCTATACGCGAATGATCTTGGCAACCGTGATGGGTTCTTAAAACATAACCTGATCTTGTGGATCCAGCATGTTCCGAATGACACCAGCTCCGGCGCTCCCTTCCGTAAACCGCGTTTCACCCACGTACCGTGCTGATTTTGGCTCGTACGCCATATTCATGCTATTTACTGTCACGGGTTGATCTGGGTGGTCTGTAAGTGGGACGGTTGGCGTTTTTTTCTTCCTTGGGCTGGAATATCCTCATCAGGTAGTCAGTCTGCGGCTTCCGAATCGTTTGTAGTGAAGTCGCAAACTCTGTCATATCCCTTAAACTGCCAGACGTCGCAAATTGGATGGATGCATTGTCGACGCACGAGTGACGCCGGTTTCCACCAATCAGAAGCACGCCTTCACGGAGGCTAAAAAGCAGGTGACCCCATTTTTCAATGCGGCTTCTTTGACGATTTGTTTGCGCGTGTTTACGTCTTCCGGCGCCTGTGTACTCCATCGCTAGCTCGTGGTGAACAACTAGGATGTTCAGGCAGCTTTGGGATGGCTAAAAGCTTCTACAACACTGTTTGTGTACACCAGTGGCCAAACACATTAACGCATCGAGTTACGATTAGTTTGTGTTCTTGTACGATCACTTGATTTCCGACACGACTCGGTGCCAAGAACTTAAACATCTAGATTGAATGTCATTGGCTGTTTTTTGTGGGTGATGTCACACTGACTTCACCAAACGGTGCTGAAAATTGGACTGTCTCATTTGATTGCGAGCGGTTATGTGTGCAGATCCGGACACAGTAGAAGGGCTTCTTCAGGAGGAAGCCCTGTCGCTTTTAAAGCATGTTTGCGCGTCCGTTCTGCTCACGTATGTCAAAAGCGTGCTTGTGCTTTTGGAAGCGACACAACGCGTTGAGCATTACCGAGTCCGGAAAGCCTCGTATTGTTTCTCTGCTAACGCTGTTCCAATACATGAGTTCTCAATGCCAAGCAAATGGCAATGCTACTCTACCTTGTTGAAGAGCGCCGCTACTCACCAGAACCACTTCTCTCCACGTTGAGCCATTGACAACTAACTCAGTCACAAGTCACAGCACTTCAGATTGGTTGTCATTAATACTGGCTTTAAAAACAACGAACCTTTGCTGGGCGCCCGCATTGACATGAGCCATCCACTGTCGCCCTGTCGCCCCGCCCTCCCCGCCGTCCGCTGAGTGTGCGCTGTCGCCGCCTAGTGGGTCACACGTGACTAACGAACGAGGCCGTTCTCGCCGTTCGCTGGACAGACCGTAAACACCGCCTCGTCGCCCCCACCCCTCCCCCCTCCCCCGCTAATGGTGCTCAGACCCGTCTGGGACCCGGGACTCCCTCCCTGCTCAGACCCGTCCGCCAGACCGTCTGGCACGTGTTATCCGCCGCTGTGCGGAGGGCCGACAATCAGGTAGAGCAAACAGGGCGTGGCGTTGGTGTCAGCACCTTCCTACCTGTCTCGCCCCTCTGCGAAAACACGTCAGCGACGGCCCGATCGATATCATTCGCCCTCGCGCGTAGCCGGGGGTACCCAAATAGGTGCGTCGCCCGCGCCGTCATTGACGCGTTCTGTGACGTCACTGAAGCGGCAGAACCGTCCCGGGGGCGTCGGAAACGGCGCAGTACGTCTCGCGGCGACGTGAGCGGGCACGGTGGCGGGCCGTGCGTGTGGCACCTTTGTGTGTTTTGGCATGTGTTTGTCTGGCTGGGGCGCGGTGTATTCTGGCTGGGTGGGGCTGTGGTGGGCGTTTGTCTGCCCGCAGCGCTCCGCCCGCCCACCCCCGCGCACGAGTTTGACGATGTGGTGTCCTTGACACTCATCCGTCCCCGTGTTCCCGTCGGCCGTCCCTGTCTAGCCTTTGCGTGCGTCCTTGTCCCTGACTCGGTTCACCGCGGATGTCGTGAGCGTCTGACGTGGCCGATGTGGCGGCCCCCGCGAGACTGAATGTGGCGGCTGCTGGCGGATCGGCTGCGGCTTGCCCTGTTGGCGTCCCTCGGTCGCTACCGTGTGTTTGACCTGCCCGGTCGGCCTGCCGTGCCTGCTCGCGCCTCGCCTCGTCTTGCCTCGTCTCGTTTCGTCTTGTCTCCGCTAGGCTGGCACCGCCTCAACACGGATAATCGTGTCCATTCATACGCAAATAAGAAACTTGTGTGCCCGAAATGACAAAGTTGCCGAGATAAGTTTCTTGGCACGTTGCCACGGACTTGTTGATGAGCGGCGCCTCTGCTATTTCGCCCAAGGATCACAATGGGTCCTTTCGTCCGTTTTTCTGGACCCTGCCGTGAGGCTGCCCGCTTGTTGACGTTCTGTTTCAATATCGTGCCTGCGTCGTTGGCGCGGACCTGGCTGCTGTTGGGAAGCCTTGACGGAAGATAACCGTGGCCCCCGGATGCATGGAGGGTTTCTCGCTCAGGATATGAAGAGAGAAGCACGTTACATATTGGGGCCCGACGTGGGTGTAGTCCGGAGCCGTGTCGGGGTTTCCTCCTGGCATGGCTTGCGATCGACGTTTCCTTTAGGCGGAGCCCGGCCAGGCTCTGGGCTGCTGCAGGAACTTTCCGATACAGTTATGGCTGAGCACGGCGACGCTGGGGCGGCCTCTAACCGAGTAGTGTGACGCTCGTTAGCACCAAACTTGCTAACAACCGCGACGACGTCGACATTCGAGAGTGTTGTGCAGAAAAGCCGCGTTCTCTTCAACGTTTGGATGTTGCATGTGGGTACGAAACCAAACGTTGTCGTCTGAGCGTTTTTTTTTTGCGTGTTTGCGGCAGGTATGGGTTGAGCCACCAGCAATGGATCTGTATCCGTGCGGTATGGGAGTCACGTGTGTTTGTTGTCAGGAATAATCCGCCGGAACTTGTTGGCCAAATATATTGTGATAAATGCGCAGCGTCCCCCCCCCCCCCCTTCCCCGATGATCTACGACTACACAACTCCAAGGCAAACGTGATAAGTCGTAATTTTCAGCTGTTCTTTTTTGTTACGATCAGCTACTCCTGCTTTGTTTTGAAATGATGCAAGAGTTTGGTGAATTTTCGAAACAAAAAATGTTTCGTGGATTCTACGTGCTTTACAGGCCACCTCGTAAATATGAAGCCGACATTGGCGCAATATCGTCTTTGATGTCAGCGCGCCCCATGCCTCGAAGCTATCATCGTAAATACGCGTGTAGTAAAATATTATCTAGCAGATCTATCCCACCTATGAATTTAGTAATTTCCAGTGACCCTAGCACAACCAAATTTTTGTCGAATGTGCTACGATTTGCGAGAACAGTACTCTGCAGCTCTCGTTAGCGGCCGCATTGATTGCAGAAATAATTAATCGGTGGAGCAAATTATGCAGCTCGCCACGAACCTCTAAAATGTGTCAGACCCCGTTACCCATGCTCCCCCGATGTTTGCACACTGTTTCAGTTAATCTTGAACCGTTCCTCTCTATTACTTGAAACACACGACTGTCGCACTCCTTTTTGCGGCAGCCGCCGCGTCGTTGACAGCACGCTGTTGTTCGCAGTGCCGATGGCGCGGGCGAGCACGAGCCGTCCGGCCGGCGCCTCCTACACGTACCACAGCAGCCGCTCCGGCCGTCGTGCCGAGCCCGACGAGCGTGAGGCGTCGTGGGGCAGCGGGGCGACGGGGCGCGGCGGCGCGCGGCCGAGCTCGTTCTGGGGTGCGGCGCCGGCCTACGGCGCGGCACCCGGCGCGCGGCCCGAGCCGACGGCGCCTCCCGCCTACGGCTGGGCGCCGCCGCCGCCGCCGCCGCCGCCGCTCGACGACGACGAGGACGCCGAGCTGGCGGAGGCGCTGCGCCGCTCCCGTCTCTCGCACGCCGAGGAGGCGGCGCGACGGCGGCAGTTCGCGCCGTCGGCGCCGCCGGCTTGAGGTGCCGGCCGTTGTTGTTTGTCGGCGGCTGACCGGCCGGCGCTTCCCCCCCCCCCCCCCCGCCCCTCCCCGGCGCCCTGTTACCGCTCACTGGCTGCTGCCGTATTGATCTGACCCAGCCAAATCGCATATTAAAATCGCCGTTTGGTCGGCGCCGCCGCCTGTTTTGATGCCGGGTGATTTTCGGCACGCACATTGCGTGACCGGGGCGGGTGTGAGCCGGTGACCTTGACCTAGAGCGATGGCGCCCCTCCCCGCGGAACGCCTTGGCACCCTGATGACTGGGCGCCAGCCGTGTGGCAGTATTAAGAAAGTTTCCTGACGCGACGGGCTTGCATTGATAATATGTTTGAGTTTGGCAGATGATGCGGTTTTAAGGGCTCATGTCATCGGATTTAGCAATATCTGCCGTTTTCTGAATTCAGGGATGGCAGCGTTAGGCTGTGCGTCATTTATGCGAAAGTGATAACAATGTGACGTATTACCTCAACGGAGAAAACCGAAAAAAGATCGAAAAGTCGACTTCACAATGCGTGATGAGCGACTTCCTCGATCCAGGATACTCAGCTGCTTACACTGACCGTCCGTGGCAGCTCCACCTGCGCCGTTACATACGGTCGCTGCTGTAGTGTGACAGTGCGCTCGGCATAGGCGTTGTGTTGGTCTGACCTTTTATGACACTACAGCCGAACAACCGAGTCCGGGGTTTGCCGCTCCGTTTGAGTGCTCAGACCGGCACGTAGTAACGCCGACCCGGCATTGGCCTCGGGCGTATCAGGAAGTGTTACGTGCAACGGCACCAGGGGGTGCGTTTTTCAGGGGTGTATCCCGCCGTAAGTGGGTCTCCTGCAACGGCCGTCGGTATAAGGACAGGTCAAGCACGATGGTGTTTTTTTTTCACATTGTATGCTTGTCGCCTTGCGTGCATTACTATTGTTCGCATGGGGTATTGCTCGGCTGCTTTCTGAATGTGGCTGAGATGTGCATGCTTTGGAGCCTGTCGCCCTATGGAATCTGGTGAAGTGCTGTGATGATTGCCGGGCAGGTAATACAAAGTAAGTTGCTGGCACTTATGTTTGTTTTTTACCGCATTCGTTTCAATAGTTTAAGTAAAAGGTATTACGTCATTTCTCATTCAAATGCACCAGAAATTCCTGAACCTCTTCCGATTTTCACTATGTTTGATGCACCTGTTGTAACCTGTGAAAGATCACAACACCAGTTTTAACTCACTGTGATCTCGGAGGTCAGAGTTACAGGTAACCTCAGGTCACGAAATTGGGCTGAGATGGGGTCATTCAGGTATGCTTATCTCTGCGAAGAATTGCCCTAGGCAGATGCAGTTGCCGCCACTTGGCTAAAGAAACTCAAGGCATTTTAGCACAGATACTTGGTATCGCATGACCTAAAGCTAACCTAGTCTGATCTAGCCAGGCTACACTAGCAATCTGGGCTTTGACAATGTTTCCCAGCAAGTTTTACGAAGACTCGTCAAGTAAGGCAAGATCATTGGCTAATTGTGTGCAGCGGTGGACCCAGGATTTGGTCAAGGGGGCGGGGCACGAAATACTGGGACACGATGAAAATATTTCTGCATCTCGGCCATTTAATTTGTACATAAGCATATATATATATATATATATATATATATATATATATATATATATATATATATAGCATATATATATATATATATATATATATATATATATATATATATATATATATATATATATATAGTCATACGTACTACGTGCGTGCGTGCGTACGTACGTACGTGCGTGCGTGCGTGTGTGTGCGTTTGATAAAACGGGAGCCCATCTTACTGTGCGCGGCCCTATAAAGCTAGGCGTGCTACGTGTGTACATACATGGAACTCACTCGTTTTCTTCCGATCATGTTAGATCCTATGATTATGCATCTAGGTTTCGGAAAAAACAGGCAAAAGAAACTCAAGTTGGCTGCTAAATACCATCAAAGCCAAAAATAGCTTCGTTTTTAGCTTATTTACGGATAGTCGACTGGACGACACAATCATCTGATGGCTGATGACTAATGCAGAATGTTTCCTTTGTTACAAAGGAGTGCACAATATCCTAACATTCAAAATATGTTAAGAACGCGATGCACAAGCATGATAGGTCGCACGCTTAATAGCCAAGGGAAAAGCCACGACATCGACTGCACGTAACGTCACGCTTGACAATTGCGCGTAGAAATTCATCGGCGCATACCCAACTGCTGCTCAGAGGCTAAAGCACCAATGCCAGTAGGGACGAAACCTGAGCGATCGTGGGTGCCGCAGGAAGCGGACAAACAGACTCCTGTCAACAAGTATGGGATCCTCAGAGCAAGCAAAAATAACTCAAGACCAACGTGGTGTGTCCGTTAACGACCGGTAGTGCCCCGGCAAGCTGACATATAAGGCCCCGGTCAGAGCACGGGACCCTCTGAGCCATAGGCGTAGGAACGTTTCAAAAAGGGGGGGGGGCAAGTTCAGAGTGTACTTCAGGAACTTTTCTGGAAAGCGAGCCCACTGACCGGGGTGGGGGGGGGGGGGGGGAAGGCAGGGATGGAGATTGTTATCGCTCTTATTCAAATGTCATGGCTGCTATGCTAGCTATGCATCTAGAGCTGTTTATCAGTGGTGCACAATCTTGCCTATTCGACTCATCTGGCATTTGGCAAATAAGGCTATCCAGCTTTCCTAGATTATTCGTCCAGTTTAACATTGTCTTTTCTGGGGAGACGAAATTCCACGAGCGGGTAGGAATTTTGGGTCATCAAGGAAGCATTTGCCTCCACAGCGTAGACGCCAAAATGCGGAATGGATATAGGCTGATGAAAATTTTGAAGGTGGATCGATGGCTCTCAGTGCGCCAGTTTTTTATGCGCCTTTATTTCGCTGGCTGCTCTTAAGAAATAAGGCTTGTCGCAGCATTTTAGGCGAAAACAAATTCGGGAGCTTGAAACTGCAGAAACAATGAGACAAAATCCATCAAACTTAAAAAAGTGACACGCTTTTCTTCGTTTTATTGCTATTTTGACCGTGCAACCAGAACAGAAACCAGGAGCTACCGTGAGCCCGATTCTGTTTGCATTTTGAGGTCAATAAGCTGCAGAAATCAGGCGTTGAACGACTGCATGGAAGAAGTCACCGGCGCTCTTAATTTACAATGATTAGCTGACTCTTTCTAAACCGATAGAATTCAGAAGCTTCGTCAATTTTATTATCTAGGTTGTACAGACATTGAGGACATCGCGAAGGTAGATTGTAGATCAATATGTTTGATCCAAATTTGAAGACGAAAATTTGATTGCAAATTGAGTGGTCAAAAGTGTGTACTAGCATGGCCAAGCCATATTTGCTTGGAAATGTTCACCATTCAGTCAGAATCGATGAGTGGTACAATTCATGTAACATATTTTTTGACATGCTCGCAAACCCTAGCAACAAAAACCTGGGTACCAGGAGTTGCAGTCTCCATGGTCCGCGGAGCGCTTGCCCAGTAGCTAACATTTAGCCGTGGCCCACCGGTGGACGAAAATGATGACGCTTCTGAAATGATTGTCCTTAAATACTTTAATCAACTGAATATACAAGTTATGTGGCGTAATTTTGAGCATGCGCACTGGAACATTTTAGAAACACCAGCCTCGCCCCCAGGCGTTGCAGTCTCCGTAGGCCGCGCAGCGTCGGTCTAGCAGCTAATATTAGGTTGTGGCCAAAAGGTGGACAAAAATGACGACGCTTCTGAGAAGGTGTTCTTGGACGCTTCATGACATCAGATCTTGTATTTAGAAGGCAGTCTGAGGGCATATTTCACGCGGACAATTTTTAGATTGATGAAGGAAACGGATCGGCCCCTTAGGCACCGCGAAGTGGGGATGGAATCTGTTGGTTGAACTGGAGGAGTGAAGTTAAAATCTATTTTTAGTGTTTCCGCAGCTATTTATTTGTCCAGAAGACAGATTAACACGGCGCCCGCCGTCTGGTGGCACTTGCAGTGGCCGAGACTTATCGATTTTACGGAAGTTGCAACCCAGACCATCCTTGTCCTTGCTCTCAATGTTGCGGGCGGGCATGTTCAAGCCTTTTGATGTAATTTGTTTCAATAATACATTCTGAAAGAAATGAACGTTCTCAGGCAAACATGGCATGACCTTGCCCTTTTTTAAGCTTACTTCGACCCACGTTATTCGACCATAATGAGACACCCATTTACACAACAACATCCCTGATCACCACAGGCAGTCCGATAGTTCTCACATAGACTCCAGTTCCATGTTTTTCTGTGTTCCTCAGAGATATCGAGTTCTCCCTGATTGTAGATTTCAGATGAAATGGGGTTCATAATTTGTATTAACATAGCTACCCCATGTTTGTCTTATAATGCTCAAGATCCTGTCAGAGCTGATTACTGATAAGAAAACTTCGTAATATGGTGCTGAACATGCGTGCTCGCAAGTCATAGCAATAAAAGCCTCGGCACCCGGCGTTGCAGTTTCCAGGCCGTGCGGCGTCGGCCTTGCGGCTGTAACATTAAGTGATGGCCAACGAGCAAACGAAAAAGATGACTCATCTTAAGGGAGATGGCTGGTGAACTAGGTAAATCGGTATGCATGTTTATGCGGTCCAAAAGTAAGTCAAATGCAACCTTAATCTGAAAAGTGTTAAAAAAAGGTTTAATCTGAAAAGTGTTACAGAAGCCGTTAACATTGCTGGCCCCCACCT